AAAAAAAAAAAAAAAAGACAGCAACGTATTGCCAGGCACGATGGCATCCACCTGTAGTCCCACCTACTTGGAAAGCTGAGACAGGAAAATCATTTGAGCCTAGGAGTTTGAGAGGAGCCTGAATAATATAGCAAGACCTCCATTTCAAAAGAAAAAAAAAAAAGGGCAGCCTTGTATCAAAATCATTTGATTGGCTTGGTGCCCATAGCTCATCAATTAGGGCGCCAGCCACATGCACTGGGCTGGGCCAGCTAAACAACAACTACAAAAAGAGCTGGACATTGTGGCGAGTGTCTGTAGTCCCAACTACTTAATGAGGCTGAGGCAAGAGAATCGCTTAAGCCCAAGAGTTTGAGGTTGCTGTGAGCTATGATGTTATAGCACGCTACAGAAGTCAACGTAATAAGACTCTGTCTCAAAAAAAAAACTGATTAAAGTAAAAAAACAGGAACAAAAATGCAAGTTGATTTTGGGGTAAAAGGTAGGAGCATAAAATGACATCTTCTACCTGTCATCAGGAAGGTGGCCTGTCATTTTTAGGAAAAGATTAATATAAGCCATATCCCAAAACCCCCTCTTCTGGATATTTATTTATTTAATATCTGTGTCCCAGGCCCTATTCTAAATGCTTTCCAGATACTAATATTAACCCAGTTTACCTCTGTAACAACCCTACAAAGAATTTAATCTTGGGCGGCGCCTGTGGCTCAAAGGAGTAGGGTGCTGGCCCCATATACCAGAGGTGGCGGGTTCAAACCCGGACCTGACCAAAAACTGTAAAAAAAAAAAAAAAATTTAATCTTACCATCCCTATTTACTAGATGAGGAACCATATGTATGTGAGGTTGAAGGGCTTGCTGTGAGCTGGGATTTGAACCCCAGAAGTCTGGCTCTGAGTCCACACTCACAACTACCAACCATGCTGGGTTCCCAGTTGTCAACTTTTCCTCTCTGTTCTATATATGGTAGGTCTTTAATCGCTTTGAATCACTGCTTTCAAACTAGGTGGCCGTTCACCCTGAGACCTGCAGCAGATCCCTCTTGTCTTCCCGATCAGTTTTTCTGTCTGACATTCCAGACTTTGGATGGTCAGTTGGTGATCCTATCCAATATCTGCTCCTTTATGATCTGGTTGTAGTCCTCATCTGCTGTGATGTTTTTGTTCTCAGCCTACATCAGCCTACATTTCCCTTTGCAAAATTCTTACTGTGGTTGTAGGGGAAGGAGATTTTGGCATAATTCAGTGACATTACATCTCCTCCTCAGATCATCAGGCATTAGATTCTCCTAAGGCGTGTGAAACCCAGTTTATAGCAGGGCTTCTGATCCTATGAGAATCTGACACTGATGCTTATCTGATAGGAGGCAGAGCTCAGGTGGTGATGCCAGCGATAGGGAACAGCTGTAAATGAGAATGAAGCTTTCCTCACTTTCTGCTATTTACCTCTTATTGTGTGGCCCAGCTCCTAACAAGCCACAGACTGGTACCGGTCTATAGCCCTGGATTTGGGGACCACAGATAGAGAGAATTCAAAGAATGTGTTTATGAATATCTTGCCTAAATCAAAATTTGCATAATGTAAGATGAATTTTTCCCATGGAATTGAATCAATGTGTCTGTCTGGGGTTGAAGTAGAGGCAGGGATGTATTCCTGGAATGCAGGTATTTGTTACCATTTCAGTGCACTGTGGCATGATTCTGCCTTCAGTTTTCTTGGCATTTCATGGACACTTCCTGGAAGACTCTCCAGCATAATATATTAGAGGTTATTTAGCCTCTCATTGTGTTTTTATCTGTTTAAATTCTGGTTTTCAGTGCTGCTTAATAGATGCCTGCATGTCATTTTTACAGTCCATCAAAAGGATTTTAAATTAGAATGCTAGTAAAAGTTAAGATAATCCTTCGGTGGTCTAGGTGGGTCATGCCTATATTCCCAGCATTCTAGGAAGCCAAGGCGAGTGGATCGCTTGAACTCATGAGCTCGAGACTAGCTGAGCAAGAGCAAGACCCCATCTCTAAAAATAGCCAGACATTGTGGTAAGGTACCTGTAGTCTCAACTACTTGGGAGGCTGAGGCAAGACAATAGCTTGAGCCCAAGAGTTTGAGGTTTCTGTGCGCTATGAGCCATGGGACTCTACTGGGGGCGAGGAAGTGAGACTCTGTCTTAAAAAAAAAAAAAAAAGAAAGAAAGAAAAAGTGACCCTGCATCAATTCACAGGACCACTCTGAGGTTCTCTTAGGCCTGGACACCTCTACTAAGGGGCAGGGGCTGGCATCAGTTCTATTTGCTGCTAAAATAGAGCCTCTGTGTAACTATAACATGAATGTCGTTCCTCTCCCCTTTGCTATCAGCCTTGAAATTATGTAATCTTGACAAGCTTTTAAAATCCGGGTGACTTTTACCCCTTTTTACCCCCTTTTCATTTATGTGGTGTAAAGTGAACTGCATTAATATATTTATTGCACTATTTAAATTTTTACAAGATGCAACTGCACTATAGGAAAAATTATTGTTGAATTGATGTATTTTACACCTTTTCCTGCATCACCCAGCACAATATATTTTATTAAATGGTTGAACAAGGAAAGTGTCAAATTGTCCTAAAACTAAAAATATGTGTCTCTCTTAAAAGCTTGCGACCTGTTGTTACAGCCGGACAACCTGGCTTGCAAACCCTGTAAGTATAGCTGTTTTTACTGATCAAATCTCAAAGTGGTACTGGCGTGATGGTGTTGAGTGCTCACTCTGGGTCCTGTCTCCTCCCAGTCTGGAAGCCTCGGAATCTGAACATCACCCAGCACGGTTTGGACATGCAGGTGTCCTTTGACCATGCACCTCACAGCTTTGGCTTCCGTTTCTTCTATCTTCATTACAAACTCAAGCACGAGGGACCCTTTAGGAGAAAGCTGTGTAAACAGGTGAGCTGCTGAGTACGCATAAAGGAACACTGCGTACTTTAGAGTGACCCCGACCCACTGGAATTTGGGTGGCTCATCATGAGCATTAGGCTTTGTTGGCTCTCAGTGGTCAATAGATAGTCCAGAATATGACCACTGGGCATGTCTCAGAGCCATCTAGCTGTGGTTCTTCCCTGCCTGGTCATCTACACCCTAGCTGTCCTGGTAAAAGTACTGCCAAGGAATAAATTTTTTTAAAAAAGTATTTTTTGTTTATTCTTCTGTATTTTATTTAATTTATTGATTTATCTATTTTCTTGAAACAGAGTCTTACTCTGTTGCCCTGGGTAGAGTACTGTGACACCATCATAGCTCAAACTTATGGGCGTAAGCAATCTGCTTGCCTCAGCCTCCCAAGTAGCTGGGGCTATAGGTGCTATCACAACATCCAGATAAGTTTTCTATTTTTAGTAGAGATGGGGTTTCCTTCTTGTTCAGGCTGATCTCAAACTCCTGAGCTCAAGAGATCTACCTGTCTTAGACTTCCAGAGTGCAGGGATTATAGGAGTGAGGCACTGCGCCCAGCCTATTATTCTGTATTTTAAATATTCATCAGGTGCTCACTGTGTGGCAGGCCCTGAATTTTATGGTCTTTAAATCCTTACCAGTCTATGAAACTGGAGCTGCTACCACCCCCTTTTACAGATTGGGAACCTGAGGCTGGAGGTCACTTGGCTTGCTCAAGTGCCACACAGCCAGTAAGTAGGAAAACCAGCTCTAGGAGCCAAGGGGCTGGCAGTTCAGTAGTCACTGATTTTATAAGCAGGTTAAGTTTAAGTAGACAGTCAAGCCCTAAGTTCTTTTTTTTTTTTTATAATTAATTATTTTATTTAATCATAACTTTGTACATTGATGCATTTATGGGGTTCAGGGTACTGCTTCAATATACAATGTGGGCTCGGCGCCTATAGCTCAACCGGCTAAGACACCAGCCACATACACCTAAAGTGGCGGGTTCGAATCCCCAGCCCGGACCCGCCAAACAACAATGACGGCTGCAACCAAAAAATAGCCGGGCGTTGTGGCGGGCCCCTGTGGTCCCAGCTACTTGGGAGGCGGAGGCAGGAGACTCGCTTGAGCTCAGGAGTTGGAGGTTGCTCTGAGCTGTAATGCCACGCACTCTACCCAGGGGGACAGCTTGAGGCTCTGTCTCAAAAAAAAAAAAAAAAAAATATATATATATATATATATATACACAATGTGAAATGTTTACATTGAACAAAGTAACACATCCATCACAATTATACTCATTTCTTAATAGTTTTGAAATGCACCATTGCATCATGCACATTAGGTGAGGTCCCCCCAAATACCCTCCCTTCTCCCATGTCCCCTCTCCCCTCCCCTCTCTCTCCTCTTCTCCTCTACTTTATGGATTATAGTTATGTTTTACCATTCATATGATTGTGTAGGTGGTTATATATTGATTTCATAGTAGTATCGAGTACATTGGATACTTTTTCCCCCATTCTTGGGATACTTTACTAAGAAGAATATGTTCCAGCTTCATCCAGGTAAACATAAAAGATGTGAAGTCTTCATCTTTTTTATGGCTGCATAGTGGTATATATACCATAATTTTATGGCTGCATGGTGTATATATACCATAATTTGTTAATCAATTCATGAGTCGATGGGCACTTGAAGCCCTAAGTTCTTAAACTGGGGCCTGTCAGAGGAGTGGGGAACATTTTATGGAAGTTCGTAGGACTGCCAGATCACTCCCTTATGAGAGAGGGTTTGGTCATGGTGACATAGCCAAGTACCTTCTAGACGTGCTCCTAAGTAGGCTGGGTTATGTCATAGGTTTTTTGGGGTTTCTTTTTTTCTAGTTTTTGGCTAGGTCCGGGTTTGAACCCGCCACCTCCCATATATGGGGCTGGCGCCCTATTCCTTTGAGCCTAGGTGCCGCACCATAGGTTTGTTTTCTTTCCTGTTGGCTCTCTCCTCTGTCAGTGATTGTCTTCAGTCTTCTGCCCATGTTAAAATTACAGCAAATAAGATACATACAAACACAGACCATTAATTTCTTTCCCCACCCTTTTATTAAGTAAAGGTTATTTAAACTAGCTACTTTGTCTTGGAGTCAAATATTCCTGCTGAGGGTGCCACCAGCTAAGCATAGACTAAGAGGGATCCTGAGTTCTCCTAAAGCTTTTATCAAAATGAAGTTCAGAAGGGCCAGGTGAGGTGGCTCATGCCTGTACTACTAGCACTCTGGGAGGCTGAGGCGGGTGTAATGCTTGAGCTTAGTAATTCAAGACCAGCTTGAACAAGAGTGAGACCCTGTCTCTACTGAAAATAGAAAAAAGAGTGGGGCATTGGCAGGTGCCTTTAGTCCCAGCTACTTCGGAGGCTGAGGCAAGAGGATCACTTGAGCCCAAGAGTTTGAGGTTGCTGTGAACTATGATGTCACAGCACTCTATCCAGTCTCCAAAGGAAAAAAAAAGTGACGTTCAGACAATATATGGCAGATAAATAAATCTTCTAAAAACTGTAGTTGAGATTGGTGGGAAGTCTTCAGCTTTGAGGGAGAAGTGTCCTCATGACCTTGTTCCAAGAAGTGAGTTTTTAACATTGTTCTTTGCTTTTTTGTAGGAGCAAAGTACAGAGACAACCAGCTGCCTTCTTCAAAATGTTCCTCCAGGGGATTACATAATTGAGGTATGTATACCTCATGAAAGCCCTATTATTAATTCTACAGAATAAACCCAGTTCATAGAGAATTCCAACTGTTTGCAACACTAAAATTTCAAGCCATTAAAGGTGTGCACAGTTACATTTTTTATATGGCTCTTAACATGGCTTTTAAAAAGGTTTATACATAAGTGATTTTTGATGTTTTCGTTAAATATTTCAAATAAATATTTTTATGTGACCACACAGTCCATATATATCATGGTTTAAAATCTGTGTATCGGCCAGGCACAGTGGCTCATACCTGTAATCTTACTCTTTGGGAGGCTGAGGCAGGAGAATCACTACAGTCCAGAAGTTCAAAACTAGCCCAAGCACCATAGTGAGACCCTCATCTTTGCAAAAAGTAGGAAAAAAAATTAGCCAAGCATGATGGCATGTGCTTATAGTCCCAGCTATTTAGGAGGCTAAGGCAAGAGGATCACCTGAGCCCAGGAGTGCTGAGGTTGCTGTGAGCTATGAGGACGCCGCAGCACTCTAGTCTAGAAAGCAGGGTGAGACCCGTATCACAAAAAGAAAAAAATAAAGTCTATGTATTGTGGTCCTTCATACTACAAAGATTCACTTTTCAAATTTTAGCTTAACAAATTTTTGTTTTGGTATTAAAATAACAAAATAGAAGTTATGCCCAGGATGTGTGTTTACACTTGTATAGAGTTTGGGCTGCTGTTCTTCTATGTATGTATACATGAGTTCTAAACACCACTTCAAAGAACATGTGAATGAAACATTTCTTTTCTTTTTTTTAAAGTACTTTTCCAGCATGAAATTAGTTCTACAAAAAAATGAGTAAAGAGAAAATAGAAAATGAAATTACCTGCTATTCAAGGACAACCAACATGTCTTAACATTTTGGTGGAAACATTTAGTTCTGGCATTCCTCAGTAGCAGTATGTGGTTTTGGACTGACAAACCTTCATAAAGCATTAATGGAAGCCCAGTAAAATCAGTGGTAGGATGCCAGTTTAATTGAAAATTGTTAGAACATGGGACTTGCCAGCTGTGTCCTTCAATAAATAACCCTCTGATTCATGAAAGGAAACATGATAAAGTTTAGAGTTTGAGCTGGTGGAGCAGAGATGAACCTGAGTATACTTAATGCCTAGTCTCAGCCTGGCCAGTGATTGCAGGCACCAAAAGCTCTCTTTCCTCCATCATTCTCCTATACTTGCTTCCCTACCTCCCACTTCCCTCACTGCCTACGGATGGAAAAATGAATGAAATCACCATTTTTTCCCCTTACAGGGTGGGCATAATTTGTTGAAGTGCTGTCCCTTAAAAAAAATAATACAGCATCCTCTGTTTTTGCAGCTAGTGGATGATACTAACGCAACAAGAAAAGTGATGCAGTATTCCTTAAAGCCAGGTAGGTATTTTTTGTTGTTTGAAATTTTGGCCTAAGGTATCTGAATTTTCTGTACTTTATGGTTTACAAAACAAAACTAAACTTGGCTTCTCTCTCTTAAGTGATGTTCCATCAAATCTGAGTTTCTCCCCATCCTAATGTAGCTGCCTGGAAGATCAAAGCCAGTGCAGTGTGTGTAGCTGGGACTAAATAAATACTCAATTGTCCTCTGAAGAAAAGTGGTGGGAGGGGAGGTTTCCTTAGGCAAAATTCCCACTCAAAGGTATTTAATGTCCCAGCAGACTCTTAACTGCTGAATTGTTCTCTATAACTCTTACAAAAAAGAAACTGTTGAATCCTTTTATAATCATGAAACTAGCACTAGAGAAAGGTGATTTTGGGGTGCTAGAACCTGTTATGCAGCTTATGTTGAAAAAGAAAAAAACAGTTATTTCTCTTTGAACCTGTTACATTGCTTATTTAATGTTTAAAAACTGTGCCTTTGAAATTTCCCAGTGCATTCCCCATGGGCTGGGCCCATCAGAGCTGTGGCCATCACTGTCCCCCTGGTTGTGATATCTGCGTTCGCAACACTCTTCACTGTGATGTGCCGCAAGAAACAACAAGGTATCTCTCTGTGTGTCATATCCCCCCACTCTAGGGGCAGGCCAGGGGTCACGGCCACCAGAGAGGGAGACTAGGAGTACATGGTTGCTTTAGGCTGGCATCTGAGAAGCCTTATACCTCCCATTCAGTTTCCTGGCTACTATAGTTCCAGAATCAAAATAATGTGGCTTTTAACCTCCAGAGCCACTAAAATGACTGGCATAATCCTATTCTTAAACTCAGAATAGTAAATTCAAGGGCAGAAAGAAAGTCTGGTTTACTGATCACTTATAAAGTTGGATGTCATGAGAGAGCCTTTTGGGTAGCTAAAGTGATCCATCTCTTAGCCTTACACAGGTGTATACTTTCATAAAGATTTATTGAGGTTGGCTCGGCGCCTATAGCTCAACCGGCTAAGGCGCCAGCCACGTACACCTAAGATGGTGGGTTCGAATCCCCAGCCCGGACCCGCCAAACAACAATGACAGCTGCAACCAAAAAATAGCCGGGCGTTGTGGCGGGCGCCTGTGGTCCCAGCTACTTGGGAGGTGGAGGCAGGAGACTCGCTTGAGCCCAGGAGTTGGAGGTTGCTGTGAGCTGTAATGCCACGGCACTCTACCCAGGGGGACAGCTTGAGGCTCTGTCTCAAAAAAAAAAAAAAAAAAAAAAAAGATTTATTGAGGTTTACTGTTAAAATTTATTTATGCTCTTTACCTTTGTAAATTATACTTTAATAAAAACTTTGTGTTTGGGTGGCGCCTGTGGCTCAAAGGATAGGTGCTGGCCCCATATGCCGGAGGTGGCGGGTTCAAACCTAGCTCTGGCCAAAAACTACAAAAAACAAAAAAACCCCAACTTTGTGTTTTAAAGGTCAGCTCTGCCAGTGATTAATTCAGTGGTTCTCAACCTTTCTAATGCCCCAACCGTTTAATACAGTTCCTCATGTGGTGGTGATCATAAAATTATTTTCGTTGCTACTTCATAACTGTAATTTTGCTACTATTATGAATCATAATGTAAATATCTGATATGCAGAATGTATTTTCATTGTCATAAAGGGGTCACGACTCACAGGTTGAGAACTGCTGGTTTAATTGGTTTAGTAGGCAACAGCCAGCTCTGGGCACCCTGCTAAACCAGGGTGGCCTCTGCAGCATTTTTTGTCTTGTCCAAGGTCAATTTCAGGTTAAGAACAATTTGTGACCATTTGTTGCTCTACTGCAGAATTCAGCTGTCCCATTCCTAGTCCCATTCCCAGCAGTGACCCAAGGAGCTGATGGGTTTGGAGGCTGGGACTGTTTTAGGTGGACGTGTCAACTGTTCTTTCTTGAAGATAGCATTGAGTTCCAAGTCTTAGGGAGCAGGACAAAGCATTGTTCATAGGTATCAACACTATCTTCTTTTCCAATTTAGAAAATATATATTCACATTTAGATGAAGAGAGCTCTGAGTCTTCCACCTATACTGCAGCACTTCCCAGAGAGAGGCTCCGGCCAAGACCGAAGGTGTTTCTTTGCTATTCCAGCAAAGATGGCCAGAATCATATGAATGTTGTCCAGTGCTTTGCCTATTTCCTCCAGGACTTTTGTGGCTGTGAGGTATGAAATCTGAAGTCTCTTCTCTTACTCTGGGCAGGGCCTGGCTCTGTGCTGTCTTCCCACCGTCTTTTCCACATCAGGGACACCTGCCCTTAACTAGTGCCACAGCTTCCAAGTCGGGGACAGTCTTACACTCCTCTTTCAGTCTAACCTACTCCTTAGCAGCACCAAATGTTTTATAACACTTAGCTCTAACTTTGACACATTCCTGCTTAGATGTTTTGAGAGGCAGCCAACTGTAGGAATTTTGTAAGCATTAGAAAGACCAGCAGCTGCCATAGGAACATAAAACCAGGTTGAGAAGGATCCTCACTCAAAACATCCTGGTAAGTATATTCAGGACAGAAGCCCCACTGGAGGGCCAAAGCCAGAAGGGCAAGTAAAGCAGTGAGTTCACACAATTTGAGGTAGGGGGGGAGTTTTGCTAAGAAGGGGAATAAAAAATGGGATTGCCACTGGAGGGGATCTTGGGGTCCAGGGCAGAGAATGGTTAATAGAGAGCTTTGTGAGGTTGTTTGATCACTAACTAGAGCAAAGTCATGGAAAGGGAGAAACTGGTGATGTAGGAGAGGGCAGTGGCTGGAGAGAAGCAGGAGGTAGGATGGGAGGACTCCCAGAAAACAATGTCAGGTCCTCAAACTTTCTGCCGTGGTTTCTTTGCTGTTCTCTTGAGTGGAGCTATTAATATATTGCTTTTCTATAATGTTATAGTGTTCATTTGTGGAGATAAGGCTCTTGTGGAAGGCATACCCTGTTTCTTACAAATGCAAGATTATACAATAATATGTACAAAATACAATAATTGTGTAATTAGAAGTTACTTGAGCTTTTGAGCTTTGAAATGGCCCACTAGCATGGTTCTCAGTCTCTGTCCACGTGGTGAGAGTGCCCCCTTGTGTCAGTATCTCATATTTACAAGGCCAGGCCTAGGTTTCCCCTGCAGGCAAGCTTTGTTGAAAAACAGTAGACTAGACAGATTTCACAGACAGCCCAGTTGGCTTTAATTTGCAAGTAATTAGCCCTTGGGGAAAATGCACTTCCAATTATGATTGTAATGCTTAATATAGAAAATTTGGAAACTAAAAAATAATGACAAATAAGAAGAACCATGGTTAATGTTTGATCCATATTCTTCCAGTCTTTCTGCCTTGGTAAACTGACATATACAGTTTTGCATTGGGGGCAGATTAGAATTTTCTACATTATTAGTAGTCCTATTTAAACTAATTTTTTTTAATTTTTATTTTTATCTGGAATCATTTTTACCTTGCATAAACTGCAATTTTAAATAGCCACATGACCCTCAATACTGATTCACCAGAATTGAGTTTCTCCGAATTGTTAAATATCTCACTAGTTCAAAACTGTCCCATTTCTGTTGCTTTCCCAAGAATAGATGCCTGGAAATGGAATTACTGGGTCAAAGACAGGAACAGTTTTTTTTTTTTTTTTTTGAGACAGAGCCTCAAGCTGTCCCCCTGGGTAGAGTGCCGTGGCATTACAGCTCACAGCAACCTCCAACTCCTGGGCTCAAGCGAGTCTCCTGCCTCCGCCTCCCAAGTAGCTGGGACCACAGGCGCCCGCCACAACGCCCGGCTATTTTTTGGTTGCAGCCGGCATTGTTGTTTGGCGGGTCCGGGCTGGGGATTCGAACCCACCACCTTAGGTGTACGTGGCTGGCGCCTTAGCCAGTTGAGCTATAGGCGCTGAGCCAGGAACAGTTTTTAAATGCTTGGTCTTGCCCTCACTTCAGCAGTGCATATACTAAAATTGAAATGATGCGATGGAAGTATTTCAGATTGCATGTGAAAACCCCACACTGTACCCCAGAAGTGCTTTAATGTACATAGTTACCATTCAATAAAAAAAAATAAAAATTAAAAAAAAAATTGAAATGATGCAGAGATTTAGCATGGCCCTTGTGCAAAGATGACATGCGAATTTGTGAAGCATTCCATGTTAAAAAAGAATGCGTGGTATATGCTCCAGTTAGCTTTTAGCATGTATATGTTAGCAAGAATTAAGGAAATACTGGGGCAGCGCCTGTGGCTCAGTGGGTAGGGCGGTAGGGTGCCAGTCCCATATACCGAGGGTGGCAGGTTCAAACCCGGCCCTGGCCAAACTGCAACAAAAAATAGCTGGGTGTTGTGGCGGGTGCCTGTAGTCTCAGCTACTCGGGATGCTGAGGCAAGAGAATCGCCTAAGCCCAGAAGTTGGAGGTTGCTGTGAGCTGTGATGCCACGGCACTCTACCAAGGGTGATAAACTGAGACTCTGTCTCTAAAAAAAAAAGAATTAAGGAAATAAGCATTATTTTCAGCAAGTGAATAGATGTTGGGGCTTTCTTCCCTTTGGAGTAGGGAAGAAAGCAGAAGAGAAAAAAGTCACTTCAGAGAATGCCTTCCTCTGTAAGAAACTGTGGCTGCTTCTCTTGGTCATAGCATTGGGAATTAGATTCTGAACTACAGAGAGAAAGACACCAACACAGTTGCCAAGAGATGTTTTCAGTAGAGTCAAATGAAAGCAGTCTGAGAAGGTGAAGCCCTCTGAGGGGCCATACATTCCCAGTTTCCTTTCCTTTGTCAGGGAACCCCTCCTAACTTCCTTACTAGACCCTCCTTAGGGTTAAATGCCTTGTCTATTACAGACCTTATAGAGATGTGACCCTATAGGTTTCTGTGAAGCCATGGAGGGAAGTGGTCACTCCCAAGTAAGTTAACCAAAATGGCTATGTTGCTGCAGTTCACTACCAATTGGTAAGCAGCATAGCTGGCCCTGGGTCTGTGAGTATGGCCAGAGAGGTCCTCTTTGTCAGTCATGCTCCAGACATGAGTCGTGTTCATTGTGGGTGACTGTGGTATCCAGGCCTCAGCCCTGACTCCTGGCCCACATTGAAGTCATTCATCCACATCCGTTGCTCAGAGCCTGTCTGCCTTCTTTCCAGGATCTGCTGGCCCCCTCCCCACCAGGCAGCCTCACTCACTCACTAGGTCCACCAACTCCCAACTCCTCTGTGTTCATGCTGACCCCTATACTGTAGGTTCCTTGAAAATGTCTTATATAGTATGTGACTTGGGCAAGCTGCCCAAAGCTCTGTGTTTCTATCTCCTTACCTATAGGACAGGAGTAGCAATTATCCCAAATGATGCTAAAATGTGCTTATGAACAGCAAATCATAAGCTCATTTTCAGTATAATCATCATCCTCAGAACCTTAGCTGTTCCTTGGTACCAGGTAATATGGGACCTGCACATCGCTCTGCAAATAAGGGTTAAGGGACTGGTGATGTGATCTCCTCTGCCATTCCTTTTCTTACCTGTTTTTCAGACTCTTTTTTTATGAGTGAGGTGCCTTGTTCTCTTTCCAGGTGGCTTTGGACCTGTGGGAAGACTTTAGCCTTTGTAGAGAAGGGCAGAAAGAATGGGTCTTCCAGAAGATCCACGAGTCAGAGTTCATCATTGTGATTTGTTCCAAAGGCATGAAGTACTTTGTGGACAAGAAGAATTACAAACACAAAGGAGGCAGCCAAGGCTCAGGAAAAGGGGAGCTCTTCCTGGTGGCTGTGGCAGCCATTGGCGAAAAGCTCCGCCAGGCCAAGCAGAGTTCATCTGCAGCACTCAGCAAGTTCATCGCCGTCTACTTTGATTATTCCTGTGAAGGAGATGTTCCCGTTGTCCTGGACCTGAGCACTAAATACAAACTCATGGACAATCTTCCCCAGCTCTGTTCTCATCTGCATTCCCGAGACCACAGCCTCCAGGAGCCAGGGCAGCACCTGGGACACGGCAGCAGAAGGAACTACTTCCGGAGCAAGTCAGGCAGGTCCCTGTATGTCGCCATTTGCAATATGCACCAGTTTATTGACGAGGAGCCTGACTGGTTTGAAAAACAGTTGGTTCCTCTCCACCCTCCCCCGCTGCGCTACCGGGAGCCAGTCCTAGAGAAGTTTGACTCCGGATTGGTTTTAAATGATGTCATATGTAAACCAGGGCCTGAGAATGATTTCTGCTTAAAGGCTGAGGCCTCTGTCCTTGGGGTGACCGGGTCGGCCGACTTGAACCCAGAAAGTCAGCACATGGGCCTGGATGAAGATGCTGAGGCCCGTGCCACCTCTGATGGTGGTTTGACCCTGCAGCCCCTCCTGCACATGGTGAAAGCTGGCAGCCCCTCAGACATGCCCCGGGACTCGGGCATCTACGACTCGTCTGTGCCTTCCTCTGAGCTGTCTCTACCACTGATGGAAGGACTTTCAACAGACCAGACGGAAACGTCTTCCCTGACAGAGAGCGTGTCCTCCTCTTCAGGCCTGGGTAGGATGCTATTGGGTCTGGTGTTGCCTTTGATGACTTGTTTCTAATACTGGGCTTTGCCTTTGACTACTTCTGAAATCCATCAAAGCGTTTTTCTAATTTTGGGAACACAGTTTTGATTCATCCCCGGTAATATGAATATTGATATGTTAGAGTTGCAGAAATGCTCTACTAGGTGAGTTGCTCAGACACAGTGAGGGATGTTATGAAACATACAGTATCTGCATTTTATCACCTTTCTAAAACTACCCCAAAACACATGATTCCTCGAGGGTCTTGGATTAGGCAGGGTCTGTGGTTGAGGTTGCTGTGAGCTATGACACCATGGTACTCTACCTAAGTTGACAGCTACATGCATTGAGCTGTGGTTCATGCTACAGTATTCATTCTCCAACCTAGCTCAGCACAGGGCCCAGTTGGCAGGACTCTGTAGGAGGGCCCACCTCCCAGGGAGCCCCAGCAGGATGCCATCTCAGGCTTCTCCTTACCAGGCTTGTAACTAATTGGAGTCATGCAGCAAACCTGTGGTCTTCAAGAAAGGTCTCTCCTTTCTTCAACTAAAGGAACTAGAACTTGTTAGGAGAATGAGATGGCCCCATCTGGAACTGGTTGGGATGCCTCATTTGTGCAAAGCCCATAGTCCAAACCCAGATGCAGCCATGTTCTGGAATGAGCACCCCACCCGTGCAATGACTGTGACTCTGTCCTCTCTTCTCTCCTTAGGTGAGGAGGAGCCTCCTGTCCTTCCTTCTAAGCTCCTTGCCTCTGGGGCTTGCAAAGCAGAACTTGGTTGCTGCAGCTACACTGATGAACTCCAGGCGGTCGCCCCTTTGTAACAAAATGGAAGAGTCTAAGCATTGCCACTTTAGCTGCCACCTCTCTGATTCCTCAGTTCCTCTCTCTGATTGCATGGCCCACGTGGAGCTGAGGTCTTCTACAAGGATACTGAAAGTGAAATCTGGCCAGTATTTGCTCCCTTTGGCCCCAACCCTCTTCCAGGCAAAGTCTTCAATTTTCTAAAATCATACAGAGCTCTGAAAGGCATGCACATAAAGTCTGGCAACAGCTTGCCATGTCAGGTCAGTCCTTGGGTCAGAGCTGGTTCTGGGAGAGCGGGAGGAAACGTGAAGAGAAACAGAAGAATTCCTGCACTGATCATTCAGACCTCACTGAGCTCCGCAAACTTTGCCTGTCTGCTGTTGGCTACTTTGATTGAAATGCTTTGTGGAAAGGCACTTTTAATGTCATTATAGCCACAGAAATCAAGCGCCAGTCTATCTGGAACCTGTATTGTATTGTAGGTGAATTTACTGTCCAGTTTTGAAGCAGAACTTAATAATGCCCGGACATTAAATAAGCTTTGAGTCAAAGATCAAGAAAGTGACTAAATGCACAGTTACCTTTTATAAAAGAAGTCTTGTGTATTACTGGGTGGCATAGCTGGCTGAAGTGGGCAGGGCCAGGCTGGCTATCTTGACCATTCCATCTGGGATAGGTTGGTCAATGTGTAGAAGGCACCAGAACCTCCTCTTGGTCTGAGGAGGTGTCCTCTTGTATCATGTAGGGGCCAGATCTGCCTGCCACTTCCCTGGGTTACATTTACTATGCTGTATCTCAGATGCTGGTTTCTGGAAGTTTATTTTTAAGAAACTGATACCCAGCTGGGCTGTATTATTGGAAGCTGCAGTTCGTGCTGTGGTTAGCCTTCTGGTCTAAAGCTGTGTCCTGAATATTAGAGATTGGAATTCACTGAAATACAGCAGTGTGTGGAGGTGGTGGCCAGTTTAATCTTCTGAACTGGTTTCAACTAATGACAGACCTCTTTTTAGGAAGGTAGAAAAGAGGAAACTACCATAAAAGTAAATGTTCTGTTTTTAATGAATGACTTCTTTACAGAATTTCTATTTCCAAAGAGAAAATAACTGTTCGTATCCTGGGCGTTGATTAGTGTGTGTGTAATGAGTGATGTCTTGGTCTAACCCGCGGAAACTCTTCTCTCTATGCCCCGGAGTGGGTGTGAATATCTTTCTCCACCTTTTCCATGGGGGATGTTGGATTTTGGTACCCTGTTTTCTTAGTGTTCAGCCTAGGGACCACCCTGGGGACCTTCATCAATAAGACCAACATCCCAAGGTGGCGGGGGTGGGGGGTGAGATAGGACAGGCTTTTCCCTCTAGGCACACACTGGGCAGGTGGTGAAGGGAAGGCTTACACCCCCACTGAAAAGAAGTTTGTATTTTTGATGCAAACGTCACTCATACTCCCTATTCTGTAAAGGCAGCTGGCAGCTTCTTGGGAGAAGAACGTGCTCGTCTGTTCTCTGGCATCAGGTTTCTTGCAGCTGCTCTGAGAGAGAGACAGGGAGCTGCAAGACTGTCTGCTCATAAAACCAGGCATTTCACAGGGGAGACGTTTCATGTTGTCAGTGTGGAATCTGGGATGAGCACAGAGCTCCTGCCCACACATGACTGCCCTGCCATTCCATCATAGGCATATGTTTTGTGAAGGAGATTGGTCAGTCCAAACTTAATAATTTAGGAAAATTCACTTAGAATGTTATCAGAGAGATTTCTTACCGAGACCAAAAAATGTTTCACCCCACAGGAACTATTAGGAGCCACTTTGAGGGTGGATATTAGCTTTGTTCATGAAATGAGCATCTCTGACAAAGTGGCCCCGGAGCAGCATGGAAGACTGGGGTGGGAAGCACTAACCAGGCTCCAAGGCTGTGGGCAGAGAGCTTGCTACATGGACGTACTGGCTTTGAAAATAGAAGGGAAGAATGTGCTAGTCCAACAATAATGTTTTAGTTTGGATTTAGGTACTTACTTTGAAATACTAATGTTTCTGATCAAGAAAATCAAACTCTAATATGCCAAGTAATGGAAATGACAGTGTGGTTGCCTAATAGAATAAGTTGAAAAGTCCAACTTCCTCGTTTGGCTTCATTAGTTTCACTTTTTTCACTCTCCCCATTGTGCTAGGAATGGGAGTAGTTGCCTTGCAGATTAAAGCAAAACATCTGTTTTAAACATAGCTGCATTTTTTTGACTTGCAGATTGTCCCAGATGGTGGAAATGTAAGATGGAATTCAGAAAAAGGTTCTGCCAAGGCATAGGCTTTTGGATATTGCAGAAGCAAAGAATAGAATATAGGGATCTTCTCAATGAAAGGCCTAGGTCCTGGGAGCAAAGGGCTTGTGTGGATAAATTAGACAACTGTCCTCTGGAAAGGAGGCCAAGGGTAAGTCCATGGTTCTAGGAAAACTAGGAAGCCTACCTGTCGTTACAAGGGAGGCTAGTTACACAGGTCCTACAGAAAGGACTTAGCATCTGATGTAGTCAACTTTACTGGGAGCATGATCAGGATGGTAAACCCCTAAAAGTGTGTTCTTAGGCCAGATGTGGTGGCTCATGCCTGTAATCCTGGCACTCTGGGTGGATTGCCTGAGCTCACAGGTTTGAGACCAGCCTGAGCCAGAGTGAGACCTTGTCTCTAAAAAAAAAAAAAAATAGCTGGGTGCTGTGGCAGGTACCTGTAGTCCCAGCTACTCGGGAGGCTGAGGTAGGAGAACTGGTTAAGCCCTAGAGGTTGTTATGAGCTGGGATGCCATGGCACTCTACCAAGGGCAACAAAGTGAGATTCTGTCTCAAAAAAACAATAAATAAAAGTGTGTTCTTCTCGCAAGAGATTGGTTACAAGCAATCTTGACAGACCTAGTCCAGGCACACAGATTGTAGAGTTCCTCTAGAGGCCGAATGTTGGGCTTTTAAGGCACATTGATCTCCTAAAGAATCAGAAGTCATTTCAGTCTAGGCCCAGGAATTCGGGTGGTGACCCAGCCAGGTAGTAGTATTTTGAGCCAAAAATGAGATCAGGCCATAAAGTCAGGAGACAAGAGTTTTTGATTGATACATAAGCAATTACTGAAGACAGTTCCAGACCAAAAGTTCAATCAAGTTATCTTTAGCCATGCTGACATCATTGGAACGTGTGATAAGGTATGGGTACATAAATTTGTGTATGTTTGTCAAAGTTTAGTCTTACAAATTCATAGCCACAAGTATCTCTCTCGTTAATACCAACCTCTAGTCTCAGGTCTCCTGAGTTAAGTACATATAGGAACACTGTCTCTAGATGTGGGGTTGCATCATTTTAAGAACCTTTTTTTTTTTTTTTCTCGCAGTTTTTGGCTGGGGCTGGGTTCGAACCCGCCACCTCCAGCATATGGGGCCAGCACCCTACTCCTCTGAGCCTTTTTTTCAGAGATAAGCTTCTTTTACTTTAAAAGAAGCAAAGGGGGTGGAACCTATTTTATTTCTAAAGAAGAAATGACACATCCTTTTCTTCAAAGAAAGAAAACACTGAGGTCCCCAACAACCTCTACACTAGTTTGGCTCCCTTAAAAAGAAATTACTTTCTGTCTTTAGTGGAAAGAGGTGGACATGCTAATATGAAGGTCTTAGCAGATCCTCCATCTTTAGGGGATGCCAGTGTTAGCAGCTCAAGCGTAAGGAAAACATCTCTGGTGATAAATGGCAATGATGTGGCTTCCCAGTGTCTGCAATTGGGAATGATGGCCACTGTGGCAAACCGAAGAGCTTCTGTTTCACTTACAGGGGGAGGTCATAGTGCCTGTGCAACAGAGTCTGTCCCATTTTTCAAGAGAAGTGGAGAATCCCGATTTTTATAGGAAAAGTTATGATTTTTATAATGTTGGCAACTAAGTTAAAAGAATTTTTAAGTGAGTCAGGCCAACAGGACACAAAGATGACTTGATTGGGTCTGCTGGCCACCAGTTTGCTAGATTTGTTAGATTTGAAATGAAAGGCCTCCACGGTAAATACAGATGTCAGGCGCTACCAAAAAATGCTATTACTAAATGCAGCCAGTAGCTGGATTGCTTTTTTCCACTATCTCTCCCCTGAAGAAAGTTAATGTAATTCTGAATGCATTTAAAATATTTTGATTGCTTCTTTATATTTCCTGGTGTCTTAAGAGAAAAGCAAGCCAGTTATTAATTTCAAAGTCAGATTTCTGTCCATTAAACAAACAAAATGCTTAGGCTCAGCTCCTGTAGCTCAGTGAGTAGGGTGCCTGCCACATGCACTGAGGCCTGAGGGTTCAAGTCTGGCCTAGGCCTGCTAAACAACAATGGTAACTGCAACCAAAAAATAGCTGGACATTATAATGGGCATCTGTAGTCCCAGCTACTTGGGAGGCTGAGGCAAGAGAATCTCTTAAGCCCAAGAGTTTGAGGTTTCTGTGAGCTGTGACACCATGGCACTCAACCTAGGGTGACATAGTGAGACTGTCTCAAAAGAAAAAAAGCTTAGAACAATTTCATTTAAACTCCACAACCTGGCTCGGCGCCTATAGCTCAACTGGCTAAGGAGCCAGCCACGTACACCTAAGGTGGCGGGTTCGAATCCCCAGCCCGGACCCGCCAAACAACAATGATCGCTGCAACCAAAAAAAAAAATAGCCGGGCGTTGTGGTGGGCGCCTGTGGTCCCAGCTACTTGGGAGGCAGAGGCAGGAGACTCGCTTGAGCCCAGGAGTTGGAGGTTGCTGTGAGCTGTAATGCCATGGCACTCTACCCAGGGGGACAGCTTGAGGCTCTGTCTCAAAAAAAAAAAAAAAAAAAAAAAAAAAAAACTCCACAACCTAAAGGACCTTATTTATAGTTCTAACTCTAGACACCATTATTTTTCTAGATGCTGTGTAATTCTGAGCTTAGGCCAAGACATAATTAGGAAAACAGGCATTTGTAGAAAATAAGGTAAGGAATCTGCTAGTGTCCAGTAAAGCCAGGTATTTACGTTATCATGTGTTTTAAGTGACCTGTGAGTTGACTATGTTTTGGAGGTGTGAAATGGTATACAGAGAAAAGCTTTTCCTGATGTTGAGATAGCAGTAGTCCAAATGGGGTGTTGGGTCATCCTTGCCATATCACCTCTGTTCAGGCTGAGGGTGAAAATAAACAAAAGGAAGTCTGACTGTAAGCCAATAGCTTTGATTCCAATTTCAGAGTTTGGGGGCCAGGAGAAAGTTTAGATTATCTGGCATGTTCTCCCCCTGGTGTCAGGCAGGGCTGGGCCTGAATTATTCCAGGCATATGGCCATAGATGGGATTCTGGATATTCAGAGAAAGATTCTGTAACGTACCCTGATGATCAGATAGTTCTTTGTATGTCTTACAGAAATTCAAACCGGCTTTCTTTTGTTTGGTGTGGAGTAGAGAAAGAACAGCTGGTCGCCTTCCATGTATTTGAAAACCACAGTGAAGTCATCCCCCTGGTGTTTTTATTTCAGTGATAAATAATTCCACTCACTTAAACGATTCTTTATAGCTCTTGTTTTCCAGGGGCTTAATAATTTTCACTGCTATTCTATTTCTTGGCTTCACACTCAGTTTAGTTGCCCAAACAGAATGTTGGTGCCTAATTCACAGTGGTGCCTTGTGAAGGCCAAGCTCAGGGTAGAAATTACAGGGAAATTCTTACACACCCAGCTCCTCTTACCACTTAAAAATATAATAGCACTTTTAAAAATGGTACATTGCCTATATTCATTTTGAGAATTATTTGACTGCCGTGTGTTTTTTTTTTTTCTTGGTGTTAGTCCTCTATCTTGTGGGTTATTTCCCTTCTGAGATGAAACACTTGGTGCTTATTCCTAATATATTTAATACTACTCT